TTTGCAGTCAAGGTTCCTGTGAAATTTTTTGGTGATGTCCTCAGACATGCTCTCTTTTCAACACACCGGGTTGCCAGCCCTACTTCAGTTCCCTCTATAGTCTGCAATTCTTGTAGTAACAGCTCTTTTACTCATCTTCTCTGCTTCAACAAGTAATTACCCAAGTGGTTTGTAAATGTCCTAGAAGTTTAAATTTCTCATAAGGCATAACTGGCTTCATTCTATCATTGAGGTTATTAGATCAAAACTTGGGGAATTAGAATTGGGTTCATACATCCCCAAGTAGAAACTCTCTCACAATTCTGCCTCAAAGAGTTTTGACCCAGAACTTTAAGGTTTGTATTACATTACTAAACTCATTCGTGTATAATGTGAATCATCATCTTTATCTGGATATATTCTACCTATATTTCAATACTTCTCTGTTGTTTTTTGGTTTTTTTTTTCCTCATGCCTTCTCCCAGGAACAAAAATATATTAATTTAGCTTTCTAGCCTCACACAAATATCAGGGGACAGAGATGGAAAGCTGGTCTTTCTCCAGCCAATAATTCCCCTTCACATTTATGGTTATTGCTTTTATTAGTGCTGCAGAAAAGAAAGGGAAGGGGGGGAAATGGGCTGTACCTTCTTCTGCTCTGACAAGTGCAGAGTGAACACTTTTGTGAAATCAAAATTAGATAAATGCATGGATAACACTGAAAAAAAAAGTGAAGTCTATCAAAATGTCTCTTATAAAAAATATGTATAACTGAACATGTGTTTCAGCAAATTTGCTGAAATTCCCTAGATGTGTGTGCTGAAAATAGGTCTGCCTCTGCTTTTGGTTGTCATTGCTGGGTTTTTGTTGTTTTTTGGGTTTTCTTCTTTTAATTTTTAATTTCAACAAAATTACTAGTTGACCAGAGGGTCAGTCTTCATTCCAGCATCAGGCAGGCACTACCAAGTGAAAATATTCCTCCTACCAAAGTGAATTTCTATAACTGGAGTTTAAAACTGAAAAATAATACTCATGCTGAGTTCTGTAAGCAACAAGCTTATTTTAGGACTAGAAGTTGCCCTAAAAGTTTGGCAAATATATGATTCTTGCTGGATTTTTCATATCAGCAAGTGACTTATATAGAAATAAACCCTTTACTTCTTTAGAAGAGATTTACTGACATTTGGGGTTGGGCTAGACAACCTCTAGATTCTAACATTCAATTCCAGTTAATACGAGTAAGATTTTTCAAATTTCAAATTTTGAATTCTTCGCTGCACTGGGAGAGCTTGAAAACTCTTAGGGGGGAAAAAAAAAAAAAAAGATAAAAGCAAATTCTATTTTTTTAGAGTCCCATAGTGTGAGGACTAATGATTTGAAAGGAAAGAAAAGGTATTTTCCCAGAAAAATACTTTGAATCTCCAGTCTCTCCTGCTCCAGCAGGGTTGTCTATTGATTGATACCTTATAAATACCAGATGGAAAAAAGGCTGCAGACCCTGATCTCTGCAGGAGCCTGTAGAGCTGACCTTACCCAAAATGATGGACACTGGGAGGTAAAGAGCAGAATGATGTTTTACTTCATCACTTTCACCCATTAGGACTTTTAGTTCAGAGACAATCATGCCCTTCAACCCTTACACAAAATTGTTCATCTCAAGTTATCAAGTTGCAGAAATTTCCCCTCTCCTGAAGAAAACTTCTAAATTATTGGAAGGGACAGCAAACTCTGCAAATGGCTTTCAGTTATCAGGAATTATAGAGCGGAAAAAATGAATGTTCTGAAAGCATATTATTCATTAAAAAAAAGAAAAAAAAAGAAAAAAAAAAAGAGGCTTAGCAAAAATTTCAGTCAGAAAGACTACATTATAAGCAGTTCTTGAGGCATCTGAGTTCAGAAAGCAGCCACTTCCACACAGGCTTCTCTGATTTCCTTGTCACACCCCCTGAGCACCTCTCATATTTGATGGCTCTGGGAGGAGCACTCAGCTCCGTGAGGCCAAGGAGAGCCAGCTCAGGCTGCCTTCCACCACACCTCCCTTGGCAATCTGACACAAAATCCTGTCCTTTATCTTAGTACTTCCCATCCCCCTAACGTGGATCAGCATCTGAGTTGTTGGATATCATCTAGGGGATGAGGGGTTTGAACGTTTCATGTAGAAAAGGAAACAAGAAAGATGCTTGTTGTTTTTTGCTGATGTTTGGGAAGGCTCTTCTCCTCTGTTCTAAAATAAAAGAGCACTTAAGAAAACTTTCAAGCTCTCCCATCTCAATCAGGAACAATAACTCAAAATTTGGAGGCAACTGGGGTTTCAAATTATTAATTTCCTCCGTAATTTTTTTAATTTTTTTTACTGTCTAGGGTAGTTCTATGTTGCAGCCTGGTTTTTATGATATCTACTTTGAAGCATCCCCTGTATTTTGTGGAGGAAAAACTGCTAAACCTTTAACCTGAAATTCCCCTGAGGACCTGATTATCCATCAGTTTGGTCAGTATCACAGGTTGTGGATCAGACAGAGGATCAGGGAGCTCAGGAAGGCCCTCCAAATCCTGTGCCAGCACTCTCCCTTTATCTGGCTCATGGCCAGCAGAAGCTTTTATTCACCCCACCCGCAACCCCAACAACGAAATACAGCACAGAACAAGAACTGATGATGATCAGTGCCTCTCCTTTGACTTCTGTGAGGTGCAGAGCATCAGCAGAGGACCAAAGCCATTAGGACATATTTCATGGTGCACCTCCAGGAATCTTGTTGCGAGTGGTCTTGCTTCAGCTTCCCCTGCTCATGTTAGAGATGAATTATGTGGGTGAGTGAGCAGATCCATCAGCCTGCCCCACGCTTCCTCTGTCAGAGCAGCAGCCCTGCAAAGCTGGCACGATTCATCAGCTCTGCCAGCACATCCTTTCACCTCCCTGCATCTCTCCTCAGCGTGCAGGAGGGAGGTGACAACCAGATCCTTTGTGCACAGGCAGACATTTAAATCTCCTGGATCTTGTGTGTATAAAGCTTCATCTCTGCCATCACCTGATGCATAAATTACACACAGTGGAGGAGGAGGAGGAAGTATCCTGACCTTCCACTGCTACTTCCTACTGCATAACCTCATTCTTTCTTGAGGTGACTATTTTCCCCTCACGCTGCGAAAAGGAAACTAACAGTGTAATCTTTCAGAACAGTACAGTGAATATGTTTTATTGTAATGGAATGAAACTTTCATTTATCACAGTGTTCTGACTGCAGATTTTCCTGTGGTATGCAGTGTGTTAGGTCTGTGCAGTGATATGGGTAACTGTGGACTTCGGTTTCCCACCAAATCAGGTGAAGTCTCTCCTCTTCAATTTCAGTCCTCTAAATCACAAGGAATGACCTTCTTATAGGTGCTTTTGGAGAGCTGAAACTCTAAAACAGAAGTGCAATACCTTTATTTTTTCCATAACTGCAGTTCTTGTATGTTTTTTGTTTCAGTGCTGATATATAAAATCGTTATTTTGGCTCTCATTTATAGAAGCTATGTAAGTAGCTACAACAGATGTTGTTTTTTTTTGATCAGAATGTTGCCACTAGAATACAGGATATTAAATGCAGCTTAGAATTAAGTTTTGCTGTCTGAAAAAAAACCAAAAAAAAACAAAACAAAAAACCCTCAAACCTATTTACATATGCACTTTCAGGTGATAAAAAAGCATAAAAGACATGTACCATGACACACTTTGGTTATTAAAACAGGCTTTAAAATAACTTGATAATAATCCCCAGATACCATCTGAAGTGGCACAGATATGCTTCAGTCTTTTTCCTAATAACAAAATGGATATTTTCATTCACACAGTTCTAAAAGGTCTGGAGCCAGTGCCTTTTTCCAAAATGCCATTTGCACCACAACTCTGGGTCTCAACTCAAACCTAATCTTGCTGTCTGAATAAACAGAAGAAGAATTGATAAAGGCATTTCAGATTATTACTTTAGGGTCTGTGTATGACTTGAAATTGGTTATGGAAAATGAAGTGCAGTGAATCAGTTGAAGGTAAAAGGAATGTGCCCATGCTCATATGAAGGGAAACAATGTCACAGGAGGAAATGGCTCTAAAAAGACTCAGGTCGTGGCAAGAAACATAAAAAGTCCTTCCATTTTTAGTGCTGATAATGCATATTTTCACTAAAAGGTGCTTTTTCTTTCCTGGATTTGGATATCTCATAACTGTCCTCAGCCTTTCAGTCTGGACCTTAAATCAGTGCAAGGGACACTAATTCATGACTCTGTGATAATTCAGTAACAATCCTCATTAGCCAAAAAAATAACCTTTAAGTTTTCTTACGAAAATTATTTTATGTGCAGTTGTCCTAGGATTTGTGCTCGGAGTTTGCATAAAATGTCTGCTGCTCTTCTCAATATTCAAAGAAGATAATTCCTGTACGACCCGTCCCTGGAAGTGTCCAAGGCCAGGTGAGATGGGGCTTGGAGCAACCTGGGAAAGTCAAAAGTGTCCCCACCCAGGGATGGGCACTGGGGGATCTTTAAGTCCCTTCCAAACCAAATCATTTTGGGATTTTGTGAATGATAACAGTGACTAAATGCAAAATTCATTAATCTCCTATATACAGAAGAAAGAAACAATACCTTGGATAGAAAAATCAAGATGTAGTTTTACATCATTTTGGCCTCAATTCTAGGCATTCCCTGCATATAAATTTCTATTTACCAAATGACAACATTTTTTGGCACAATGCTCATAGTTAGACATCAAAAATTCCATTCACAAGAGGATTTTGTTATTTTCCCACTTGATTTCACTTGGAATCAAATTATTTTCAGAATTCCTGATAAACAGCAGCCCAAAACTTTGCCTTGATTTATATCAAAATATGCTAACTTTTGCTATCATTGCTGTCATTCTAGGTTTCATGCAAAGAAAGTGCTCTAATATTTTAATAAATTTTGGAATGTTCCCACCCATTTCTCCAATTAGAAGATGCAAAAAGCCTCCCCTATCTTTGTACACAAAATATGAGCATACATGCAGAATAAAGCCTACACGACAAAATATTCTGCAGGTAAATGGGGTTGACTGGGGTCTCAATTTCCACTGGATTTTGAATTTTTGTCCTTTCCAAGGAAATCTGTCTTGCATGTCAATCCAACTTCCCTGAAATGCTTTAATACCTGGAATGACAAGAAATTCTACCATGAAATGTAGGAAGTTACAGCTTTTCCAGACCTAACAACAAACATTATTTAAAGGCTTTTATTTTCTGTACAATGGAGAGGCAGATAGACATTATTTCTAAATCCAAGCATCTCACTGACTATCTTTAGTCTCTTCACACAGATATTTTACCATGTTTTTTGAGGATGTTAATTTACTTTTTCCTATAGTACATTTTTACTTTATTTTTAAAGCTCGTTGTAAACTTGGAAATTCAATTGTCCAAATACTATTACTATACAAAAATGAGATACAAATTAAAGATTGCTCTTTTTAGGTCAGCACTATGTTTTAACCTCCAGAGAGATTTTAATGTTGCTTATAAAACTCTTTATTTCCTTCGAATTAATGTAGAAATAGCAATCAGCTAGTAGAGGAAGAATTTACTCGTAGAGGAAAAAAAGCCATCTTCAATTCCATAAACAACATTTTAAAAAATCCAGAATGAATCAAAAATTTTTATTGTATTAAGATTGAAAGACTACAAAATGAAAAAAACATGGTAAAATATCTGTGTGAAGAGACTAAAGATAGTCAGTGAGATGCTTGGATTTAGAAATAATGTCTATCTGCCTCTCCATTGTACAGAAAATAAAAGCCTTTAAATAAAAACTCCAGCTCAGCTCAACTTCAGGAGAGCTACATGTCTGTACACGGCAGCTGATAAACTGGCACTGCTTACTACATTATTTTATTTCCTTGTCTCATGTGACTTCTCATTAAATATTATTGTCCTCTTCTGGCACTGAGCTGTGATAACATGAAAGCAATACAGATAAGAAACTCATTTGTTAAGGATGAGGGATTCTCCTAATTGGAAAGGAATATTCCAAAGAACAATGTTTTGTTGACGTGGGTTTAATACCTGACTGCTTTGATAAGGTAAATAAGACTCAGAACAATTTAGACTGCCAAAATGTAGGCTTCACAAAGGATGTGCTTGAATTCAGCTGAAGTTAATGAAACTCTACTTTTAATTTAAGGAAAAAAAAAACCAAAACAACCATGCCATTACTCTTTAACACATCAGATGTAATTGGCTGTAATCCACTCAAATGAGTAAGTATTGTTGTGATATAAAGAAAATTTGCCATCATGCATAATTCTGTTGGCCTGCAAAATTTTCACAGTTGTCTTAAAATATGCCGCTCTATTAATAGCCAAAGGGAATATGCCAAGTTAAAGATACAGAAATTTTATTTTTAATTAAATGTTTCTTGAGTTTTTGACTCAAAAATTTCCAAAACACTGTGAAAAACCCTATGAGCTACATATTTCTTCTTCATGTTTGCCCAGCATTTTCCCATCACAGCTGTAATGAATGAAAGGGAAAAAACCAGAAATAGTAACTCATTAAAAGAAGAAGAAAAATTTTTCTTTTACCAAAAAAAATATTTTTGTTTTACCAAATGACTGACTGAAATATTTCTTTTCTGAAGCTGCCTCCTGTTAAATTTTTTTTTAAATGTGTTTCAGTCAATATAATTCTTCACACAGCCTACTGCAGTGTGAGGAATACCTGTGGAACTGAGACTTGATAACATAGCATTTTAATTTTATACCAACATGGAATTGCCATGTATTCTTAGCCTTTGAATAGATTTTTATGTGAAATGACAGTTATTGATGGTTCAAATACATAACTTTAAAGTTTAGGTCTCTGTTTCTTTTTAAGCCTGACATACTTACTAGAAATAAAATTACAACTTTGCAATTCTAAATGATTAAAAATTAAATTACTTTCAAGCCCTTTTTTCCAAAAGTCATTAAGTGAAGAAATCACAGTATTTTAAGTACATTTTTTGTTTTAGCATGGAATTTAAAAAAATTAGCTTTAAAATCTAAATATGTATTTGTAATAACATTTCCTTTGAAAACAAATCAAGGTTTGCTAAAACAAGAAAACAGAAGACATAGATCTCCATGCATAGGTACATGATTTTTAGATGTTATTACCTGGTAAGTGCAAATATTTCTATCAGAATATACAAAATCTTCAGACTATTGGTGAAAACGAGCGCTCTGAGAGGAAAACCAAAAATCAGTGAATTCAGCAGTGAACAAGAGCATTCTGTGAATGAAGAACAAGAAAAATTAATTTAACCTGTGCTGCTAATCAAGGTGATTGAACAGTCAGGAGAGTGAGATGGAGCAATAAAACCACCTGGAAGCACCTGGGAAGGCTTTCCATGCAAGCAGCAAAGCATGGCCCTGCAAGACTGCAATCCTTTCCAGGGCAGTTGTTTATCAACATGCTGCAGTTTCTGATAGCATAGTAAAATTCCTGGTTTAATTCACTGGAGTCATTGTGGAGACCTGTGAAAATAACAAAATAAACACTTGTTCATCAGCGTGGAGAGCAGAAACCATCTCTCAACAGGCTGCAGGATTCAGAACTGGTTGCTATGATGATTCAATCCCACGTTGCTGGAAAAAGTCTTCTCAAGTGGACTGAAGGGACTTTTTTTTGTTATAAATCCAGACTTAGAAATTACCAAGGAGTTTATTTATTTTTTTTCCCCAAGAAACAATTTTCCTGTTGGCCTGATGCTTCAGTTTATTTTACACAATTTGAGGCAATATTTGAGGCAGTGGCAGCACCCCAGACTTTACAAATTGAAGAAGGTAACTCCTTGCAGAGGGGATTACAAAACACCTTTTCATGACCTTCAAGAAAATAGTAACATTATCCCTGGAATATGATTGTATATAAGTAGAGCTATATTTTGAAAAAAAAAACAAAAAAAAAAACCAAAACAAAACCACCTTCCTCTCTATGACTGAACAAGAAGAATAAAATAAAATAAAATAAGGGTTTTGTTTGTTTTGAACTTTTTCATTTTTAACCTAGGTTATACTTATCTGTAGAGCTGTGATGGGTTGACCCTGACTGGACAAAGCTGAAAAATGTGCTTGAAAGCTGCTTCAGGCTGTGGCAGTACACAAGAACTGATTTTAAAAAATCACACTAATGCACTGACAAAACTGAGAACCATTTTTCCTCTCAGCTGCTTTCTTTTACACTTAGTGACAGATACATGCATAAGCCTATCTTTGTAAAAAATTAGCAGCGAAAACAGAATGTTGCTCCCCATCTTCAAGAGCTGGAGTGCTGCACGTTTCTTCTGGGCTCAGAGTGATGATTTGGAGTAGGAGGCTGTGCAAATGTTAGAGGGAAGACGAGCGTTTTGGGATGCTTTTGGTCTACTGAATTGCTGGTTTGGGCACGGAGAAGAGTTATTCTGTGTGATAATGAGCAGAACTCCACTAAATCGTTGCAGGCAAAACTTGCACAAATTTAAGGGGAAACTTTGAAAATATTTGCTATCCTGTAGCTCAAAGAGAGAGATACCAAAGTGGTGGTGGTTGTGGTGGGGAGTGGTTTGTTTTGTTTTTAGGTTTTTTTCCTTGCATACTTTAATTGTACATGGCTTCCCAGGTTCTGTCTGCACCAGTTGTTGATGGTTAACAGGGGTTTTCCCCTCTTCTTCAAAAGATTCAGCTGTGGTCTTAAAAGAGTTCTGAAAGATAAACACTTTTTATAGGAGCAGGAATGGGAAGAAGGTAACAATTCCCTTTGTGGGAAGAGTCGTGACCACACCTATGGCTCAGCTGCATTAAATTACAACATGCCCCTAGCAGAGGGAAATCTTACCACCTATAAAGCTAATCAGCAGAATTCTCTTTGCTTTCTGTTAGGCTAGTGAATAAGGCTTGGAGGAATAATCAAAATCATAAGGATGTGAAAAACAGCTTGCACGTTTCATTTTAAATGGAAAATCCTCTTCATTCTATACTTGTCTGAGTGCAGGTTGTGTTACTGGATCAGAGGAAATCTGCCTGTTCTGCTGGCTTGCATCAGTATTTATGAGGATTTTCACCCTTCTGGTGCCCTGTAAAGCTCAATGTCCTTCGTTTTCCTGCCTTGACTCTAATGTGAGGCTCCTGCTTCTCGCAGAAGTGCAGCACCACAACACCTGCCTGTGAGAAGCTGGAGATAGCAGCAGAGTTCTAGCAGGTCCCCTGAGGTCCACAAGTGTTCAGCGAGGGCAAAGCACTAGAAAATGAACAGGTTGATGTAGTTTTAGAGGTCTCTGATGCCTAATTATTTCAAATGATGTCACTCTCACAGCTAATACTGGAAGAAGTTAACCAAAGTTAATTAACATGTGCTTTGGCAGTCTGCTCAGTTTAATTATTCTGCTGCATTCTGTTAGGGCAGACTATCCAGATAGTAAAGCTGATAAAAATTCCTTGTAAAATTGCTATTTTGGCTGAGGGTTCTGTACCATGAATGACTGCTCTTGTGCCCTGGCTGTTGAGTGGGGCATTTTTTTATGAGTTACCAGCAGACTCTGTTTCTAGGGATACAGCTGCCAAGGAAAATAGTAGGTTAAATAATGCTGGGATATGAGGAAAGGCACTGGATGGGCTTTAAGGTCCATTTCAACCCAAACCATTCTGTGATTCTTCAGCTCTCTGATCTTGATTCTTACAGCCAAAAGAAAGATAACCCCACCAATATTCCACGTCTTATAGACAAACCAAATGGAAGAAAGTGATGTTTTAATGACACAGCAATCTGTTCAGAGTTTCAGGAGGTCTTTTGGGCCAAAATCCTATTCAGTTACCATTTTTGCACCACTCAAAAGAGTCTCATTTTCTGAGGAAAAAAATTGTTTTTGTTGGTTTGGGGGTTTTTGTGTTGTTGTTGTTGTTGTGGTGGGTTTGTTGGGTTTTTTTGGTTGTTTGGTTTTTTGGTTTGGTTTTGGGGTTTTTTCATGATACAAGGTGAAATACATCTTTTGGGTATGGTTTCTTCATGAGGGTGGAAATTCAGAACAATTCAGTATTTTGCCAGCCTTAGCAAAAAAATAAATATTAAAATTTGCATTTCTTTTTCCACCTGTAAACAGTCCACAGAATTTTTTTTTCAGTAGTCACAAATAAATTACATACAACTATGATCCTAGCAGAAAAAAACCCCACAAAATAAAACATGTTTTTTATGTGTTTCTTCTGGGTCACACTGTACAGATTGCCTTGAGCTGAGTTTCTGATTTTGCTTTCACTGAAAGCAAAAGAAACCAAAATTTTGCATCTCACCCTTGCACCTGAAGACTCCTTAGGAAGGTTGTTTCTATGTTACACTCCTCCTCAGGGCAGATAATAATATGCTTCTGTGACACAACAATGGACACTCACCAAATCTCCTCTATTTAGACCAAAACAGACTGCAAGATTTCTGAGGAAATACGAGTGAACCTTAGAATAACAAATTTACCTGGCAGAATAAACACTTCCAAGCTCTGTGTCTGAGCAACTGAGGGTTTTGAGGGTTGGTAAGTCTTGGCTGAGGTCTTCAGCATTCCTCAGTGTTCTGTTTTCCAGTGAGAAATGTAGATTTTTTTTTTTTTAACTGAAAAGATGGCTTGGCTGTGTATTTCAAAATTTTCTCAGTCTCTCCTGACATCCAGGCTGAAGTGACAAATTTTCAGAGTTGCTAATCCCCCCCAAAAAAATTAAAAATAAAAATAATAAAAATATAAAGCTATCTAGGCAATGTGCCTGCATCAGTGAGTTTGCATGCAAAGTTGAGGACAGAATGCTACATGGTGCCAAGACAAAACTGTTCGGTGTTTTACAATAAAATAATGCCCAGAAGAAAGTTAAATCTGCAGCTGTCATGTGACAACCTCCCACAGCTGAAGATCCTGCAAATTTAGAGGATGACCAAACCAATTGATTTAGATCAGGGCATAGATGGAAGTGGAAGGATATTCACCACTCCATGGACCTGGCTTTGAGAGATGATTTATGGTCTGAAGCCTTGAGTCCAAAAGAGTTTTCATGCCCAAAGAGGTGTCAGGGAGGTGGTCTCACACCTGCCCAGTCGCACATCTCAGTCTCAGAGTTTGCAGCTGCACACAGAACAGGTTACAGAAATGTCGTGGGTTAAACCCAGCCCTTCTTATTCAGGGAAAAAAAAAAATAAAAACTATTTCAAGGCACTTCTGCGAGTGAAAATGTATCTTCTTCCTGCTTATTAAAGCTCCTTGAAATTCCTCACCAACCCAACACGAAGCAGCTGCAAAAGACCTCTTTTGGAGAGTTTCAGCTCTCTTTCTCACCCACAATGCCCTCATCAACTGAGCTTGTACCTCAACAATTGAAATGAATTACTTTTACTCAAATTCAGATAACTTTTTCCATCTGGCATCCACTGCAATCTTGTTTTCCCTGTTGCCCATTAACAAAACACATTAGGAAAACCTCTGGGTACTTTTAGGGAATAAGTATTGATTTACAAACTTCTATGGAAGAAAAAAATTGTTTCTTTCCGAGAAAATGATCCCCTCTGAGATGTCAGACTGTTTTGACACTGAATTGATGGATAACCTTGTTCTGCTCTAACAATTACAATCTAAAAAGCCTCACTGATTAAAACATGATTCCTCTAATTTGGATTTGGGACTGCCACATGTCTCTTATTCAGTCTTTGCAACAGAGCCATCGAAAGTCAACATAAATACCCTTGTAAGCATGAGAAGAACATGGTTGTACATTTCCTTTGGGTCAAAAAGATTAATTTGTTCTATTAATTAGCATTCAGGCCACTGAGATTTAAATACAACTTGTGGAATGCTAAGCAAAACAGTCTACAAGGATCTAATATCTACTTTGTTCTACTTGATTAAACACAACACAAGTGCCACTAGACCTCTTGGAACTACATAATATACTTTTATACCCAGATGTCCCAGTTTCTCCTTCATTTGCATTTACTCAGACTTTTAAACGGCAGTAGTTGCTATCAAATCTCCCATGCAGAGAGAAAGTCTGAAAGAAATTAGCTTTCTTCAGCCCAGTGCTTTTTCCCCTCTTTTTCTTTTCAATTTTTTCCTTTTTATTTCCTTTTATATTTTTTTTTTCCTTCCTTCCCAACCTTTCTGGATGGCCTAAACCTCGAATTAACATCAGAGAGAACTGATAAGATGTAGACTGACTTTATTGGTATCCAAATATATCTATAGCTATATCTATATATATCTATATCTATATATTGATATATGTACATTTGGATATATACATATTATGTATACATTTATACTTATCTAATTAAATAAGTAGATTATGTCTGCTAATTCACATTGAGAATCACACGCTCCCAGGCTCGGCTTGCCATGTTCTATGTGTTTTATCCACTGGTAAAGTATCACTGCAGGACTTATTTTTTTTAACTTCTCATTGAACATTACATAAAGCAATTTTAATCATCTTTTTCTTGCTTAAAACATGTTTCCTATTATGACAAAGCCTTTTATTGTTTCTCCTTTCTTTGAAAAAAAAGAAAAGTCACCATTTTACCTTTAGGTTTATCATCTTTTATTAGCATATAATATAGTCAACCACCTTAATTGTTTATTTTTTAGTTGCATGCCATAAGTAAGATCAGGTAAATCCTTGTTGTCTTGTTGGGTTTTGGGGTTTTTTTTTTGGTCCCTCATTTTCCAGCTGTTCTACCTACATTGCAGTAATGTCTGCCCTACTTTATTCAGACTCCTAAATCCAACATCATCCCTTTGTGAACGGATTCCTGGGAACACACAAAATAGGCCAAAGTTGTAAGTTGAGCCCTGGGGCAAGTAACTGAAATAACCAGGCAAATATGTGACAAAATAAGTGTAAAGAGTCTGAAATTATTGAA